CAAAAATAAAAATATAATTATTGGACTTTCGAAAATACAAAAATGTAATAGTTGAAAAAATTTTTAAATATATACAAATTTATTATAAAAGGAACATATTTATTATATATAGTTTTTTTTCTATTACAGATTAGTTTTCAAAAGAATTTTGAAAGTTAGCAAATATTAAAAATTAAAAGATCGAGTAATTTTGTTTTTTTTTAATAAAATAAAAATAGTAATTAGCTCTGTTAAACTTAATAATTGTAAACAAAAAATGGCTATAAGAGCTATTAAACAAAATGCAGTTGTCAGATGATATTAATAAAATTCATTTAAAACGAGAAAATAAATACATAAGAAATAAACATTTATGCGAATGTTTCGGCTGACATTTCAAGCCTTCTTCAGCGCAATACAAATATTTTAATTATAAATTGAATTTCAATATTAAACATTAAAGACGGTAATTAACAAAGTCAAGATAATAAATATATAAAGTCAGTTTTTCGTCTCATTACATATGTTGTTAAACAAGTCATCGTGTATGACAACCACTATTTCTGATACATACTTTGCTCGAACGAACACACCATGCAATCACCTATATGAGTATAGACTTCCTGATTTGTTTTTTTTTATCCAAAAGTTACTTAAAATTCAAAAAATTAAAAAATTCTATAACTTTTTAATTTGTAAAAATTAAAAAATAATTACTAGACTTCCGAAAATACAAAAATCTAGTAATTAAAAATTTCAAAAATAAGTAAAAATTTATTATACATATAAATAATAAGTAGTTATTATACAGCTTTTTTCTATTACAGACTAGTTTATTTAGTGTATATAAAAATTAACACAAATAATCTTTAGATTTCTGTGATGCAAAATAACTTTTAATTTTTTGGAGATTTTAAAAAATGTGTTGTAATAAAAATTGTTTAATATATTGAGATAAAATTTTATAAATAGTAGGTATAAGATTATTTCTTTTTTTTGAAACCAACGCATTGTCATTTGCATTTGACTCTTACTTGCTGTTTAAATTGAAATAGTATATCAAAAGCCTCATTAAAGTCTCGATAGATAATTTTTGCAAACAACTTGCGCCAAAAAAGAAAAAAGGGAAAGATTTAATAAAAATTTATAACAGACATTGAACAAAGATTTTGAACATAGTTGGCAAAATCTATATATAAATAGTTCTAATTCTGTTTTTTATAAATATACATTCTACATGGTTAAATTATTCAATTATATCGCCATTTCTTATTGTTAAAAATGGGTTGGGTCAATCTATGCGAGGCGACTATAGCCTTGATCAGGTAAACTGAAAGTTAACAAGAAGAATAATCGAAGGGTCGGATGAATATCGACCGGGTCGATAAACGATTAGGATTATAATAACAGTATAACAAAAAAAAAAAAATAATGAAAATCAACGGAATATAATTTTTGGGTGTGGCGTGGGACGCGATCGTCTCGAACTGATGCCTTTGTCGATCTTTCCCTATTGAGGCATTGTCCTGAAAGCTTAGAGATAAACTGCCTTTAACTTTCTTTGCAGCAGATTTATATTATTAAAAATAGATTAGAAAAAATATCTTAATTTAATAACGGACAAACAACTATTTTGAATATGAAAAGTGCATATATACACATATAAAATTTTATTGGGAACTATTAGTCCTTATATGAGAAGTAGTCTTTTATAACATGGCTAAAAAATAAAATATCAAAATAGAAAGAAAATGCAACTTAAATAAGAGAAACAATAATTCATATCTGATCAGAATTGCCAGATAATGTTAATCTTTTTTTTATAAAAAGTCTCAAATATTATAAAAAAGTCATTTTTTAAATATACGTATATTAAATTATTTCAAAAAGCTGATGTGAAAATTGATTTGCGGCATTTGAAAATCTATAAAAAAATGTGTTTAATTATTAAAAATAATTTTGGATTGTAAAATACTGTAATTGATAGTAGATTATTGCCTATGCAATAGCATTTTTCAAAAAAGTAATTTAAAAAATTAAAATTTTAAATAGTTCAAATTTTGTACGTATGTAAAATTTTATTAAAGTCAACGAATTAGCGAAACATCACATAGAATTACGAACCGAACTCTTAAAACGACCTTAAAACAGAATGAATTAATTAATGCAAGTCTAAATTCCAAACTCCTGATGGTATCATTCGAATCATATGAGCATTTACTAAAGAAAGAGGAATACTTTACAAAGGTAAAAAAAGGCCCTTGTCAAGCTAAAAATAAGATTCTGTGAAGCGAGATCCTTTTTTGACGTATTTATTTTTTTATATTTGTATATGAAAAATATTCTCGTGACAATCATATTCGTTTTTTTTCAGAATGAAAAATAAAAATATAAAATGTTCTGATTCGCGAAAGAAAAATCTGAATAAATTAATAAGAGAGAGAACTCTCTCTTTTAATATGACAATTACGATAAAACAGAGAAAAAGAGAATCGAAAAAACCGTGCTTATCATAAATACAAAACTCAATTTGATTAAATTGGAAGTAAGAAGAAGCGCAGAAAAAAAGAATGACGAATCCTTACACATCGATGAAACGTCGGAATTCGTGCACGCATGCGCGCTCACCAAAAAGTCCGATGCTTACTCATTCGTTCAATGTACCCGGTTATTTGCATTCAAGTTTCGTCTACGAGAGAGGTTCGCTGCTTTCATATATTAGATATTCACAATGATATCATGCAAATTAATCTAATAAAATTTTGCATGAGTAGAGAAATATTTGTATATGAATGAAATCAGCTGAAGCAAGAATTTGGGTTCATACAAATTATATTAACCTTTATTTTTTCGATGCATTCTAAAAAGAAAAAAAATATTTTGTTACATTTATTGCATATTTTATTGTTTTATTTTCTACGAATCGCGAATAAATTTTCATTAACAAATAAATATTTTCAACAATTAAAATTATGTTAAAAATGATAATTATGGCGAGTATATTGATGATGCATTGTTTGCTTCAATTGATTCACTTATTTCCCTTGTAGAAATCTATCACTAGTATCGCTAATTAATCACTTATTTTGAGTACTTAAAATACTGATATACAGTAATTTAAGTACTCAAAATGAGTGATTAAGTATTCGAAATAAGTAATAAATTGGCGTTACTAGTGATAAATTTCTATAAGGGTTATCTATCCATATACAAAATTTAATTACATTAATTTGCATAAAAGAAAAAAAAAGAAAAATTCATCTTGTATTTTATTGTATTATTGTGAATATCTAACACTCTAAATCAGATCTAATAATCTAGATCAATGATTAAATAATTTAATTTCTTAAAATTTGCACAGTCATATCTGCATTCGAAATTCATATGCCGGTTGAAGGTTCTGGGGTCGTCGGTATCTCTAAAAGAATTCTTGAGAACGGAAAGCCAGCTTAAAACCTGTGACTCATAAAGTTATTCGCATAACTTCTGGGAACAAAAGTTTTCTTCGTCTAAGAAATGGCATCGAAATGTGTAAATATTTTTATTGTAATAAAATATCACGTACAATACGATTAATCGAACAAAATATCGAATCTAGTTTTCGATATAAATGCGTTCACTATCTCAACTGAGGAAATATGTAAACACACACAAGAAAATAGAGATAGCACATATACTCACATAGTATCGAAGATTATCGGAACGATTATTTATCAAAGATTAAGAACAAATTTTTAAGATATATATATATATATATATATATATATGTATGAAAAAAAGTAAAAGAATAAAAAAAAATAAAATTTTTTAATTAAGATAACTTGATCAAAAAACATTTTTTTAATTAAGTTATCTCAATTAAAAAAGAACGGAAAGAATGTGAAACTTTTTCTATTTCAAACTGGTAAATTAAGGAAAATTCAAACCTAGAGCGCGAAAAGCTCGTATTATATCTATGAAATTCTCATTATTATTTTATGTCTTGCATTTCTTAAATTATGATGTAATAGGTCCTCGTAAATAAATGTTACAACCCTTGCACATTGAGAATGCAGTAAAGTGTAGAAAGTGCATAAAAATGTATAAAGTACAAAAAATACAGATGGCTATTATACTTTAACAAAGGTTTTGTTCTTTTTAATTGAACTGGCTACATATATTAGTTTAGAGTTTATCTTTTTTAACGCACTTTGTAGTCGGCTCTCTGAAATATCAATATAACTAAATCAGCCACAGAGCCATTTATCTTTTTTACTCCAAAAAGATAAATTCTGAACTAGAGCAGCCAGTTCAGCTAAAAAGGGTAGACTTACAATTTCATTCTCTTGATGCGATTGTGCGCTCTGTATTTTCTTAACAAGTGCGCTTCTAAAACGATGTTGTAATTAATTGTATTTCAATTTCTATGCAATTTTTCTAGCTATATTTTTCTGGCTAGATCTAGTGATACTACTGTGAATATTTTTCCTTTATTTTAAATATTTTTTAAATCGATTTGCTAAACGCTAAATGTTTATGAGATTTGTAGTTGCAAAACATGCACTTTTAATGATTGTCTTGAGCTAATATAGGATGTCCTGGTCTGTTAAAAAAAAATCATTATTATAAGATCGTCTTACTTGAATTCCTACAACTTTTGCATGATTATATTGAAACAATTTTTAATGGAAGCTCTGATCTTCGAAAAATAGTAATGCGTTATTTAAAATAGGATACCCTAAAATGCAAAAACAACGAACTTTCTCTAATTCTAAACCAGAATATTCCGTTAGAAAATCAGAATATCCTGTTAATTAGAGATAATTAAAGATTCAGAAGGAATATCTCAAAGAGGAATTAGGAATACAGAGTTTGCACTCCATCTATAACAATCCCTTACAGTTCTGATTTCATCAACTTATGCGCGGCATCGTTGCACATGTGTATATGCACGTGTGCAGAAGCGTCGCGGGTGCGCGATTGGTAATCGTGGTCGTCGCGACGACTTTGGTGGGAGATCTCAATAAAAGTCAGTGGCAGGCTGATTATGATTCAGAGTGGCGGTGAGCTCCGGTACTGGCTCCGCATATTCGCGCGCTTCTTGTTCGGTTGGTTCTTTTTTTTTCTCTCCTTTGACGCGAACACCTTTCTATCGCGCGTATACAGATCCTATCTATCCTATCTATCCTAACTTATTACTGCCAACTCTTTTTCCTCTTTCTCATTCTTTTTTTTCCTCGATCGTTTCATCGAACTTTACGGAAGAAAGATCTTTGTCGATGAAAATCGAGCGAGGTTTACGCGACACATATACATATACGCGTATAAGCCAAAGAGTCACGCTCGCAGCAACAGAAGGAAAGAGAACACGGGTGGCGAACCACCAGGGAGGAAAACGCTAAGAGATCGATAGTGTTGTGGCAACCACGTTTCAAACTAGCTCTCTGCCAGCCAGGTAGAGTCACCGGCACGCTGTTGAAAGTACAACAAATGTTTCCGCTTTGCGAATAGAGTTAGTAGAGGTAACATCTCAACAGCTTCCTAAAACCCTGCGTAATTCTCCTCAACAAGAGTATAGTCGAAATCGGTTGATTTAATATATGAATCCAATTTGACAGTTTGCGATTCTCGAGGCACCTTAATAAGGAAAAGTTACGCAAGGGGAAGCACGTGATTCAGTGTTTCCGGGAAAAGGGGGATGTAAAGGGGCGAGCGACGAGCACCAATACTGTACGCACGAGAAAAATAAATCACGGTGATATATTAACACAATTTAACAATTGGACCAAGAGCAGCAACATTGCCGAAAATATGACGAGGTGGAGCAAGATTGTTTCGCGGCGGCCAAGCTACCTGACGGCGATAACGTTCCTCACTTTGTACGCGAGTTGTACTGGAGCGGCACCCACCAATGTCGTCATCAGCGACACCACTGCTGCGGTAAGTATATAGAGATTTTATTTTCCTGCAATCTCTCTACAAAGTGATCTGTGTAGAAATATAAGCGAATGACGTGATTGACTTGGGGAAATCAAATTGATTTCGCTCTAGGAGTCCTAATTCGATGGACCCCAATTTTTGATTGCATCCTAATATTTAATTGACCCCGATTAACTTGTTGGTCTATATATAAGATAAATTATATATAGACCACGCAACAAGTTATGTAGATACGCTACGCATTTTGAGAGACTGTTGGAAAAGTTTTCACAACACGTCTCGACATTCGGAAGAAAGAAAGAAACTGGTCTGGAGCTGGATGCAATATCTTCGTGGGATGCGTCACAGATGAGTAATGCAAGATCGCGCATTGCGCATATGTGTTCGCATGTTGTTTCTTTGACGAATAACGCGAATAACATTCCGAGGAGAACATTTATCTCTCCGAGACCGCTGATATCTAATTATATTAATAGATATATCGGATTATCTCTTGAATTGCAGTGCCGCTTTGATATTATAGTGTGACTAATAAAAAATTGTCTGAAATATTTATCACGATTAGTATATAGAAAAAGGAAAGAGAAAAAAAGATGTTTGTTTGCTTCTCGTTTCTATATTATTATACGAAAATTTAAATTTATGCTCTTTATGAGAGCTTTGTATTGACGCTTTAACCGCAAATTTGGCTTGATGACAAAATATTTATCACTTTATAGATAAACGCACAGTCAAAAAGTAACTGATGTTTTTGACTGGATATACATCAGGAACGTGACTTGTTCTGTCGACGAATGATCGATTTTAAAGAATAATTGTTATTTTTTAAATTTTATTGAATGAATACTCTATTCGATGTTTAGATAAATCGAGAATTGTGTAATTGAGAAAGAAAGACAAGACTTTCCAAGTTGATATTGACAAAAGAATAACAATATTTATAATAATGCACATTAATTGTTTTGCTACAAGTCAACGTACGTAGTTACGCTTATTTAATTGTAAAAAATGCTATTTACAACGTTAGAGATGATAATTATTGTCGTGGCGAGTATACATATTTAAGTAAGAGGAAAACATCTTGCTACATACACAATACACATGTCTACAAAAATCATTATACAGTAAATAAAATTAAACACATTCAGAACAAAAGTTCTTTTCTTGAAATATATAAATATATATACGTACAATATAAAATATATAAAAAATATTGAAAAAAAATATATATCTAGAATTATATACTTCAAAAATAAAAGGTAAGATAAAATAAAATTGTCGAAATTCATTATCTTATTATTCTTGACAATCTAATGTTTCAGTAATCTTCCTTCAGAAAATGCCAAGTCATCGAACCGTATGCGCATATCTTTTTTTCTCTCTCTCTCTCTCGATTATACTAAAAAACTGTACATAATGTATATGTAAACTCGGAAATACGGAAATACACCTGTACCGTAGAGAGATCTCATATGTTGGCCTTCGTCATCGCAGATCCATAGTCCGAACACGAATCAGCCGTCATCGGAATATTAACGATCTAATCATAGATATTCTCATCGTCACTCGATCCAGCAATCGCGTTTGTCTTTTTTTTATATTTAAGCCAGCAGCAAGTTCTGCTTGGCAGTCTTTTTTCCTTCCAATCGTGTGTCGATCGTAAAAAGGAGAATCTAATAGAAAAATCGATTCGCATTTGCGGTTAGCGTTAGTGTTATTGAAACTACGAGAAATAGTTCTATCTCTTCCGCCATTTAAACGTATGTAAAATAGCAAAAAAGATTGTCATTAATCAAAAGCATCTTGTGTAACAGTAAACAGTAAAAACAGTACTTTTGATCACATCGTAAAGATTATAGAGACAAATATACAAAAATTATATCCTTTTCACAGTCAAATACTCTTCGATAGCTTCAACGCAGTTGAAAGAACAAAGAAAAAAGCTAAGACGCGGCTCTTTTGTTCAAGTTGACAAATACACATTTATTTATTCTCGAGCACGAATGATTTGTTGCGTATCGGTTGCGCGTGGGCTAGGAAGATAAAAAATTATTATACGTGATCAGCGAAGCCGTATGTACGAGAAGCTCGCAAACAATATACCTGTTGATAAGACACGCCACACGTCACCAATGTATGGCATTCCTTATTGTCATAGATAATGATATTTTGAATCGTTCTTTTGCTTAGAATTAAATCATCATTTTTGTATTAAGTATTATGTACAACGAGACAGAAAAAGAGAGAGAGAGAGAGAGAGAGAGAGAGAGAGAGAGAGAGAGAGAGAGAGAGAGAGAGAGAGAAAGAAAATCCTAATTATATAATATTAATTATTATACAATATAATCATAATGAAAGAATGAAGGCAAGAAAATTTATTTTCGAGATCCCTCAATTTGATAAGTCATTTTTACAGGTATCACACAATTGACGGTACTGTATTATATTTAAAAAATATATTTGGTGGAAGAATATAATGTTATGTATATAAAGCGCATGGACGGGGGAGGACCAAAAACCTAACCTAACATAACTCTTTCCTCTGGATCCCCATGAAAAACTTCGGATCTAATCCATTTCTAATTAAATTACAATTAGATTAGTTATATGAAAAAATTTTATGAGAAAAATGTATGACACAATCCTAAAAATTTTGAAATTTTAATAAATATATTAAAAAAAAATAAAAATTTTGAAAAATTGATATCTTAAAAACTAATGATATCATAAGATGCTTTTTCTTAGTAAAAAATCTATCAAATTGAGGATTTCCGGAAATAACATTGTTTCAGAATAAAATGTAAAAAATGGAACCAAAAATTCGTTCGCAGATTTTATCAATAATATAAGAAAAGGAATTAATGTAATTTCATTTCTATATAATATAGAATATAGATTATAATTATAGATCCTATATAATTAGAGTATTACTAATTTAAAAGATCTTTTTTCCTAAAACACGGTAAAAGTGTCATTCCCTGTCAAGTTCATGTGCAATCTATATAGGAATAAAATTGATTAATAATAATAATAAATAAGAGATAATAACGAGGATACGTATAAGTACATTATAAAGATGAAGGCATATCCTCAAATTATATACTTACAATTAGATAAAAAATTGCCGCGTTTACCGCGCTTGTGATGGAATTAATGTTTTCATTCGTTCGTTACTTTTATGCAACATCACACACACACACACACACACACACACACACACACACACACACACACAAGATGATCGCGCGTTATATCGCTCGTAGATCAAATTATTGTGCACGCATCGTATGGTTATCACGTGTCCGAGTGACTGTCTGATTTCTTAATGAAACCGCTATTTCTATTTCCGCGAACGTGTCCCCGTGATTTATGCATTTTTCCGACACGTGGAATCTGCACGTGCGCATCGTACGTTATGGTTATATAATACAACTAGCTAGTCAGTACTTACTTCGAAAGATTGTTCCGGCTACAAACTGTACCGTACCTAACTGTTAGTCTTAATTTCGCTTAAACATCCGTCTTTTAAATGTTCTGTTGACAAGTGCATCTCGTGTTCCTTCAAGTCTTTCGAATGTTTTCGAGCATTCAATAGAAATCTTTCGTATCTAGATCTCTATAATTTCTATTGTTATACTAATTAAAACCGCTAAAGAGCAAGCTCTTCTATCGGATATCGGACATCGGGCGCAACGTCAAAAAATTAGCATCGATTGAAATTGACGTAAATGATTAAAACTCGCCGACGTAAGTTTTATCAACGATAAACAAAAAAAATTCGCTATCGTGTTCGTTTGCACCTTAATGACTCATGTGACGCAAAGACTTGAATCGTCTTACTCTTATGAGCTATCTTCCGAACTATCTTCCTTCCGCTTAGTGTGAATCAGTGACTTTAAACAAAAATATATTTTAAATGAATCACTTGCTTTTATCATTTATCAATTTTATAAATTTGATTGTGTAAAATATTTTTATCCGATTTGTATATTTTGCAAATTTCGTGAATTTTATTAATATATTATTCAATTCAATCGTCGATTAGATCAATCCGATCTGTAAAAGAATCATGGAACAGCTATATTAAGTTAATATTACACTATTACTTTTGAGGTCGCATCAATTCAATCGCATCAGATCAAGTGATTAATTCATCCTTGTCACTATCGATGCAACACATACTTATATGTTTAACATTGTAAATTACGACACATACATATGTAAATATATAATTATGATAATTATGATAATTAAATAAGCAATTTTAGCAAATTTCACTATCTGTATTTATTATAACTCAAATTAAAATCTGTACACTATTTATATTTAATTCAAATTTAAATCTGTACACAATTTGTATTTAACTCAAATTTAATTAACTTAAATTCTATCATAATTCGTACTATCACATTTAATGAGAACATTAATTGTAACAATTAACTTATAATTTAGCGTTTGACACATTTAATTTAAAAAATGTAACATGGTCAATTATTTTTTAGAGAAGAAAGGGGGGGGAGAGAGAGAGAGATGTATATTCGTTTCTTCATTATAACCATTATCAAATCTGTTGTTCAAAATTTGATCTTTACGCCATCGTTATAAAATATAAAGATTAGCAAAAGAAAAGAAATAACACGCAAAAGAAAATATTTTGTACAAAGCAATAGTGTGGAAATGGTCTGGAACTATCTTTTATATTCAAACAATGTCTACAGGAAGATGCGAGGGCGTAGAATATTAATGACATTTGCGTCGACAAAGACCTCTCCAAGGTCGAAGTGCTATTCTCTTGACGCTTATGCACTCCTTCCTTTTATTTTACGGCTGATAGCTTGTAAAATTTTACAATCCAACTTGGTATGTCAAAAGAAAAATTGTTTCTTGTTCACACATTCTCACAAAATGGTACACTTTTTTACACGCAATGTGCGAAAGTTATTCCAAAATCTACAATTTAAAGATAGGAGACAATTGAACAAGTGTGGCAATAAGTGCTA